CTGACAGTGGGTGATTATTTCCTTGCTTTTTTGTATGTGCTTCATAATTTTTGCCTGAATGATGGACATCATGTGTAGTAAGATAGTAGAGACTGAGGAAACAGTATTCATGCCTAAAAATGGCGTGGTAGTTCTTCACTACTTCTTCTACTAGGCTTTTAGTGCAGGTGGTGGCTGGGGGAGGGATGAGTCAATCTATTCAGGAATTGAGCAGGGTTTGGGTTTTGTTATGATTACCTTAAGTACACTACCGGCTCTAAACTCCTCTAGTGTGACCTTCTGCTTAGGGTGGGGCCTGGTTTGCCAGAGGGTTTTTCTCAGTGATCCTGCTCCACCCTCAGCTTTAGGCTTTCTCTGTGCACCTGACCCAGAGTGTCTCTCCATACTCTTAGCCACCCCCAGGGATAAACTGCTATTGCTTTACTTGCTGGAGGAGCTGAGGGGAGACAGAGAAGTTGCTCTGTTATCCCGGCCTAGTCTCAGTCTCAGGAGGTAGGGCTTTCTCCAAGTAGTAGGAAAACTAATGGTCTGAACCCAGGAAAGTTTTCTGCCCTTCCCTCAGGGTTTATGGATTTTCTTTTTCTTTTCACTTCTACCCACACTGGAAAATGGGGTTTATTCCCTTCCCCCAGTGGCTTAAAGCTCTTTTCCACAGGGAAGAAGGGTCCAGGCAGGCCTGTACCACCTAGAGAGGCTTTCTCTTGTCTCCCTTGCTTCCCCTAATCTTTCTCATGAGCAACTCTTGGGGATCCCTGGAGTGGGTGTTACCTACCCTGTGTCTGCAGCTCCCAAGGGTTCTATGTTCTCATACTAGCCTACACTTAGACTTTAGCAATTCAATAAAAATTTAGCTAAATTCTTCTCTTTTTCTGACCATTTTTAATTTCTTTAATGTTGTATCTACTTTATTTATTTTTATTCTTGGCTGCATTGGGTCTTCGTTGCTGCCCACAGACTTTTTCTAGTTGCGGTGAGCGGGGGCTACTCTTCATTATGGTGTGCAGGCTTCTCATTGCGGTAGCTTCTCTTGTTGTGGAACATGGGCTCTAGGTGCGTGGGCTCCAGTAGTTGTGGCTCTCGGGCTCTATAGCGCAGGCTCAGTAGTTGTGGCACACAGGCTTAGTTGCTCTGCGGCATGTGGGATCTTCCCGGACCAGGGCTCGAACCCGTGTCCCCTGCATTGGCAGGTGGATTCTTAACCACTGTGCCACCGGCGAAGCCTCAATTTAGCTAAATTCTTATTTCCCCCTGTATGACAGCCCTGCCTTCTTCCTGTGCTCTGCTACTGCTACGGGTGAGCCATGCCCACATGCCACTACTAATTGTGTTGAAAGAAGTTATGATTTTTGTATATTATAGCTTACTCTTGTTTTACAGTGGGAGCAATATGCTTTCCAGCTTTCTACGTCCTAAATGGAAGCCAGAAATCACCCAATGAGTTTAAATACCACCTATATATCTACAATGCCTAAATTTACATTTCCAGTCTGGACCTCTCCCCTGGACTCCAGACCATATATATCCAACTACCTATTGGACAAATGTACTTGTATGGTTTGGCAGACAAATTCTAAGGTGGCCCCTATGGCCCCCACCTTCTGGTGTTCATGTCTTTGTGTAATCCTCTCCCCTTGAGTGTGGGACGGATCTGTGGCTTGCTTCTAACCAACAGAATAAGGCAAAGATGATGGGACGTCATCGCTGTGATTATGTCACATTTTATGGCTAAGGAATGGGCTATCATTCCCTTGATTATATTATATAAGACTCTGTCTTGTCAGCAGCTGAACTTAAAGTAGCAGGCTGCCATGCTGTGAGCTACTTACTGGAGAGGGCCAGGTGGCAGCGAATTGCAGGCGACCTCTAAGAGCTGAGGGTGGCCTCCAGCTAAAAAAATTAAAGTTCTCAGTCCTACAGCTGCAACAAAATGAATTCTGCCAACAACCTGGGTGAGCTTAGAAGTGAATTCTTCTCCATTCTAGTCTCCAGATAAGCCAGCCCTAGCCAACATCTTGATTGCAGCTTGTGAAACTCTGAAGCACAGAACCCAACTAAGAGAAATTTTAGGATAATAAATGTGTGTTGTATTGTTTTAAGCCACTAAATTTGTGGTAATTTGTTTTGCAGCAAAGAAAACAAATAGTATCATAAATTTAACATGCCCAAAAGCTAAATTCCTGATTGCCAACATCTCCCCAAAAACAAAAAAAAAAATATGCCAATGTTGTCCATCTCAGTAAACAGCAACTCCATTCTTACTGTTATTCAAGTCAAAAACTGTAGAGTCAATCTTGACTCCTTTTTCCCTCTACACCTACATCCAATCCAAAAGCAAACACTGGGGGACTTCCTTCGTGGTGCAGTGGATAAGACTCTGTGCTCCCAATGCAGGGGACACAGGTTCGATCCCTTGTCAGGGAACTAGATCATCCCACATGCATGGTGCAACTAAGAGTTCGCATGCCACGACTAAAGAACCCACCTGCCGCAACTAAGACCCGGTGAAACCAAATAAATAAATAATTTTTTTTTTTTTTTTAAAAAGCAAACACTGTTGGCTTCACAACCAAATTATATCCAGAATCTAACTTTATCTCACCACCACCACTAATACCACCTTGGTCCAAGCCACTACTGTCTCATGCACAATCAATGTAACAGCCTCCTAACTGGTTTTCCTACTCCCACTCTACAAAGCAGCCATCCTATTAAAATATCAAAGTGCTTTCTCTGTAAAATATCAGTCAAATCAGGTTTTTACTCAAAAACCACTCCCAAGGTTCCTTATCTCACCCAGATTAAAAGCCAGAAATCTTACAGTGGCATACAAGGCCTACATTATCTGGCACTCTCCCCTGCCATCCCAAACCTCTCTGCCTCATCTTGTATCCCTCTCCCCTCATTCATCCCTCTCCTACCACACTGGCTGCCCTGCTGTTCCTTAACCATGCCAAGCACATATCAGTCTCAGAGTTTACAGCTGTTGGTCCATATAATTGAAGAGGTATTTCCACAGATACGACTTCTCAGACCACCTTACATAAAAAGGCAAGTCCCCATCCCCATCAACAACCCCCTATTCCTCCTACCCTGCTTTATCAGCCTCCACAGCACATATTACGAACTGATACATTTTATTCTCCCCAACACTAGAATGTATGTTCCGTGAGAGCTGAAACTTTTTTTCACTGTTATATCCCCACCTTATACTGAATGACTGAATAAATATTACTGTTATTAGATACTTCTTCCTTACAGAAGTTAGCATCTAATAAAGCAGTCAAGCCACAAGAATTTGGATAGCAAGTCAGTGACATTATTTTTAAAAATCACTATAAAATTATTTACCGCCTAGAAATGTACTTATTCTATCTCTGTAAATATGCTTCTGAGGAAACCTGGAAAACATTCACATCTAACCAACATAACTGAAATGTGTAAGTAAGCCAACTGAATTAAAACATTTCTGTGAAGGGCCCTATTAACAGAAGGTAAATGAAAGACTCTATCATTGTTTTTCCAGTACCATCTAGGGAAGATATCATTATTCTTCACAGATATAGCCAAATAACAGAGAAGGATACATCAAGCTTGAAGGATTAATCCTTTAGTTGCTTGGTTCTCTAACTTTTTCATCTCAAGACCCTTTTATACTCTTAAAAATTACTAAGGACCCCAAAGAAATTTCATTTATGTCAGTTTTTAATCTAATACTTACATTTAAAATTTAAACAGAAAATCTAAAACTATTTAACAGTTCATTTAAAAACAGCAACTGGAGAAAGCCCGCGCACAGCAACAAAGACCCAACACAGCCAAAAATAAAATAAATAAAATAAATTTATAAAAAATAAAAACAACAATCATAAATCCATTACATGTTAACATAAATGATATATTTTCACTAATATGACTAAATATACCCCCCCAAATTCGTGACAGAAATGACACTGTTTTACACTTCTGCAAATCTCCTTAATGTTTGAGTTAATAGAAAACAGTTGAATTCTCTTATCTGCTTCTACATTAAATATTTGCCATATGTGGTTTTGTTGAGGTATATGAAGAAAGTCTGGCCTCACTCAGGTATGTAGTCAGAAAAGGGGGGGGGTGTTTTAATTGTTTTTCCAGATAACTATGGATATTCTCCTTTGAAACCACATTAAAACTTGACAGGTTGTAGTTTCTTAAAGGTTGTCTGCAATGTACAATTTGAACTCTGTGTATTCTGTTAACATTAAAATCCATTGGTGTATCTTGCATTCTGAATGGATCTTATACCATGCATGATTTTGTAACACAATTTTGTAACAAAAAAGTTGGTAGCTACTGGGAAGCTGTCAAGTTCATGATGGTGAATACAAGTTATCCAAAATTCTAATTTTTACTTGAAAGTTCAAATCCTGTCACTGGCAATACATAGTTTCAGTTGTTTTCCCTGAAGTGGGTCAGGTGCATGGATCAGACAATTTGAAATTTTAAAAATATCACCAGTTCTGCAATATGCATGTCTGACAATTTAAATTCTCTAATGAATATGCCTATTTTCCAGTTCAGCAAAAAGATTTCCTTTATATCCACAATACATCTGTTGAATTGAAGATGGTTTGCCTCCTGAAACTATTAGTCTCTATTTCAAGTCAGCCCAAAGGGCCAAATAATTTTTCATTTGTCTTATGCAGCAACAAAATTAGTCTGAAAAAAAACCTAAAATAATCATGTACCGCATAAAATAAACTCTACCTCCCCAAGTTTTGAGAAGTATATACATGTTAAAACACTAAATATGCTATAACAGAAAATAAAACTGAATGATCTTGACAAGATATTTAAATCAGATAATTCCTTCCTTCCATACATTTCAACATTTTACAGGTTTTTTTTTCTCTTTTGCTTGGTTCTTTTTTTGAACATTAGTAATTGGTGATCTGCAACAACAGCTTAATCTGCATAACAAATATTCCTAACTGGCTCAATGTTTTGGCTGGTTCCTGCCTTACCTGTTGAGGAATATGAGAAATATGAGCTCCCTGAACTGTTGAACCAGACTGAGGTGCTGTCTCTGAAGCGTTATTCTTGTGAGAATCTTCCATAATCAACTGTAAGGGGAAAAAAAAAGTTAAAAGATGCTTTCTAACTTCATTTTCAAAAAATCTTAAGACATTTCTTTTCTTAATATGCATACTTTTTAAGAGGAACAAAACAGGCTTTTCTATACTAAGGGCTGAGCTCAATTATCCAGACTCATGTTTTCACACCTTTGCTCTGGGTGTGTAGTGACCTATGATAAGAGCTTTTAAAATGGAAAATAAAAAGTGCTACAGAATATGGATAGTATACTCTATAGTTGCTTAAAAATTGGTAACTTGGTTACCTCCACGGAAAAGAATTGGTAGCTACGGTACAGAGAGAGAAAAGAGATTTTCCTTTAAATTTTTTGAATTTTGATCCACATGAACATGTTTAAATTTAATAAATGGTATACATAAGATAGTCTTCTGTGCAGGAACACAAGCATTCTTTTCTTTTTTTTTTTCCTTTAAATTAAAATAAATTTTTTTTTTTTAATTTATTTTTGGCTTTCTTGGGTCTTCGTTGCTGCGTGCGGGCTTTCTCTAGTTGCAGCAAGCGGGTGCTACTCTTCGTTGCGGTGCGCGGGCTTCTCATTGTGGTGGCTTCTCTTGTTGCGGAGCACAGGCTCTAGAGCGCAGGCTCAGTAGTTGTGGCGCACGGGTTTAGTTGCTCCATGGCATGTGGGATCTTCCCGGACCAGGGCTCGAACCTGTGTCCCCTGCGTTGGCAGGCGGATTCTTAACCACCAGGGAAGCCCAAGCATTCTTTTCTACAGTCTACGGAACAGTTTTTCTTTTCTTTTCTTTTTTTGGCCTGCAACATGTGGGATCTTAGTTCCCGACCAGGGACTGAACCTGTGCCCCCTGCAGTGGAAGTGCGGAGTCTTAACCACTGGACTGCCAGGGAAGTCACCTAGGGAACAGTTTCTAATTGCATACATAGTTTAATATAGAGAACTTATTGAGCAAAGGTTGAACAGAATAAATAAATAAATGAAACCATAACTAAGGAGTTTCTGAAGATCTAGATGATCTAGATAATCAATTGCAGGACATGTAGGCTGGGTAAGAATGAGAATAAATGGGTTATGAGAGATGGAATATGTCAAATAGGAGAACTACTTAGAAAGAGGCTGGTAAAAGATTTGGGTAGAATTTAAGGTTTTTCTAATTATGTGAAAAGACATAAAAAGAGAGAGGGCCGGCCAGCAAACAAATGAAAAGATGCTCAATTTCACTAATTATTAGGGAAATGCAAATCAAAACTACATTAAGATATCACCTCACACCCATTAGGATGGCTAATATTTTTTTTAAAAAAACCAGAAAGTAAGTGTTAGCAACGATGTGGAGAAACTGAAACATTTGTGCACTGTTGGTTGGGAGTGTAGAATGGTGCGGTCACTATGGAGAACAATATGGTGGTAACCCCAAAAATTAAAGATAGAATTACTATACGATCCAGCAATCCCATTTTGGGGTGTATATCCAAAAGAATTGAAAGCAGGGTCTTACAGAGATATTCGTACACCTATGTGCATAGAAGAATTATTAACAATAGCCAAAAGGTGGAAGCAACTCAAATATTCATCAGTGGATGAACGAATAAACAAAATGTGATATACACATACAATGGTATATTATTCAGCTTTAAAAAGAAAGGAAAGGAAATTGTGACACATGCTACAACATGAATGAACTTTGTGGACATACGTTAAGTAAAATAAACCAGTCACAAAAAGACAAATTCTGAATACTTTCACTTATTTAAGGTACTTAGTAGTCAAACTGATAGAAACAGTAGAATGGTGCTTAATAGGGACTGGAGGGAGGGGAGATGGGTAGTTGTTTAATGGGTATGAATAAGTTCTGTATATTGGCGCCACAATAATGTAATGTACTTAACACTACTGAATTGTATACTTCAAAATGGTTATGATAGTAAATTTTATGTGTATTTTACCACAATTCAAAGAATTTTTAGAGAGAGGGGGCAACTAGGTACTTAGCCCTTAGCATCATTAATTTAATAATTGTGAAGTTTAAGCCTGTATATTCTTTCTTCTCTTTTTTTTTTCCCGTTTTGGACAGCAGAAAATAAATTCATTCTTAACTCTGGATTGATGCTACTGTTTTTAGCCATTGAGAAAAGGTATAAAATCACCTCAAACATAAAGTGTTTCTAATGCTTTTCCCTCTAAATATGTCATGAGCCTTTTTTTCTAACATGGAAAATATAGAACAGAAAGAAAAAGGATGATAAAAACTTAATTATAATATTGTCTAATTTATTTTCAGTCTTCTCTTTCCACAACTTTTAAAAAATCATAAACATACTGTACATACAATTTTGTATCCTGTTTTCATTTATCACAAATATTTTCTAGGTTTCAAATAGAAAAATATTTAAATGCTACATAATATTCCATCCAGTGAATGTACATAATTCACATTTTTTTACCAAACAAAACAATACTGAGATTAATATGTTTAGCATATAAAGCTTTTTCTGTAATTAAAATTATTTCCATAGGATATATTCTAAAAATGAGAATTACTTGGTTAAGGAGTATGAATATTTAAGGTTTTCTGAAAGAATTATAGTCCACCAGAAGCACATGAGAAAGCAATGGGAATTTTTTTTTTTTTTTTTAAGAATTCAGGGTTTTTTTTTTAAAGTCTTTATTGAATTTGTTACAGTATTGCTTCTTATGTTTTGGTTTTTTGGCCCCGAGGTATGTGGGATCTTAGGTCCCTGACCAGGGATCGAACCTGCACCCATTGCATTGGAAGGTGAAGTCTTAACCGCTGGACCGCCAGGGAAGTCCAGTGAATTTTTTAGTCATGACTAACCTGATAGATGGAAAATGGTACATTGTTTTACATTTCTTTAATTCTCTATTAGTTATGTGAGCTCTCTGTTCATATTATTTGTCCATCCATCTATCAGATCTTGTGTTTTCCTTATTACCCTATATTATTTCTTCATATAAATTTTATTTCTTTCATTTTGATACAAATGTTTCCAGTATGATGTAACTATGATTTTAAAACTTTAAATTTTGACAAGTTCATCTAGTGTTTCCCTTGTTTGAACTGCTTTTAAGGGAACTGCTTGAACTGCTTTTAAGCTATATATAGTCCCTTCTTTAGGAAGAGTGCGGTGATTTTTAATCTGCACTAAGAGAAGTGTAATTCCAAAGACTAAACATACAGACAGCATCAAAGGTGGAATTTTATACTTTCTACATACTATCGCTACTGAAAATGCCTTTTTAAACACTCCATTTCAGAAGACATAAGAATATAGAGCAGAGAAAAAAGAAAAAAGATGTAGTGCTAAAGCACTGAAAGAAACTATAAAAGATTTTATAATACCTTGTTAAATTACTGAAAATGATACTTTTCTGTTTCACTGTGACTCACTGATTTTCCCCCATAAGAATATTATTAAGAAATTTTATAACTAATGGAAACTAACATCATCAACAAAACATCTGACATTTCATAGTAAAAGCCACTACAGTCAGCAAATAACACTTTGGACAATTACTACAACTATATTTCCTACAGAAAAGAAGACAGTCTATTTTCTGGGGTTTTTTTTTGCGGTACTCGGGCCTCCCACTGTTGTGGCCTCTCCCGTTGCGGAGCACAGGCTCCGGACGCGCAGGCTCAGCGGCCATGGCTCACGGGCCCAGCCGCTCCGTGGCATGTGGGATCTTCCCGGACCGGGGCACGAACCCGCGTCCCCTGCATCGGCAGGCGGACTCTCAACCATTGCGCCACCAGGGAAGCCCTCTATGATTTTTTTAAAGAGGAATTAACCAATAAGTTTTTTTTTCCAAAATGAAAGCAGCCTTTATACCTTCGTCTCATTATTAACAATACATACATAGTTTTTTAGTGATGTTATCAGAATGTAACCTTTATTTGCTTACTTTTTAAAGCTATTATTCCTAAAATTAAGGTTAAGATTAACAATCTGTTAAAAACTTGCTCAACACAGAATTTTATGCATACATTTTCCGTAAAAATAAAGTAAGCCCCAGGCAGCAGATGGAAGCTTAACATGAAACAATCCCAAGTTGGGCAGAATCACAAGTGGGCAGTGAAACACAGCTTCAAAAGTACGATCAATGGGGTAGTTCCCTGGCAGTCCAGTGGTTAGGACTCGGTGCTTTCACCGCCATGGCCCCAGGGTTCAATCCCTGTTTGGGGAACTAAAATCTTGCAAGCCACACAGCGTGGCAAAAAAAAAAAAAAAGAATCGAACTGGATTTCAAATGAATAAAATAAACAGACTGAAAGAAGAAAAAAAAGTACCATCAATGGGAATGAATTTGGGGAGCTAAATCACAGCAGGCTGCGATCCTGCTGACATATGAAGAATGTTAAAGTAAAGGCATGGCACTTTTAAGAAAGCTTGTTAAGAAAGGAACATATGCTAGGCACTAAACTAAGAGTTCTTTATATATCATCACCTGGATTCTTTATTATTATGTTTTTGGATTCCCTATTTTAGAGATGTGTAAACTGAGGATCAAAGGAATTGCCATTTCTGTGGATCTCACAGTAAGATGTGAATGCAAGATCTGAAGCCAGAACTGTTTTAAGCCAAAATCCATGTTCTTTCATTCCACACTGCCCCTCTTCCAAGAATACCTTCACATCCCCAACTTGTCCACCTGGCAAACTCATTTTCAAAGTTTCATCCCAAGCATTATGTTCCCAACTGCTCTAGGTCCTTCCTTAATGCTTGTTCCACTGTGCCTTGCAGATATTTCTAATGAGGTTACTTAACATTCTGAACTGTGTTTATAGGCATGTCTGTTTTCCCCAGTCTTAAGGTGCCTAAGAACAGGGCCTCTATCTTGTGAATGTATGCTCTGTGCCCAGCAGACTGTCACGTATGCAGTAAAATAGTAAACATCAACAAATACAGTTTTCTCATCTGATGAATGAAGAGGGTCTTAAGTTTCTCCACCTACAGATGATGTAGAAGCCTGTGGGCAAGAAGTCTCTTGCTCAACATTTCCACAACTTAACTCACAATCTCCCCTCAAAATTGCTATTAGTCATACTGAATTTGTTTCAGATCTTCAAATGTGCCTGCACTGCTTTCTCTCATCTTCAGGCTTTCACGTATGCTATTCCGTCTGCCAGAAACACTATTCCTCTTCAAGCGGCCTATTCCTGTAAGTTATAGTTCCAGGCAAACTTTCATGACTCCTTTAGACTGGTCTAGAAGCTTTGGCTGTATCCCCACAGCACATGCTTCTCCCACCTTTCATGGCACTTATTATCACAGTATAGTAATGGCCTGTTTTCTGTCTCTCTACCAGAATGCAAGCTCTAGGGAGTCAAAGACCACTTCCTGTTCCCAATATAATACCTTGCACTTAACTACTGCTGAATAAATCAATGTGTTTAGTTGGGTTTACCTACTTAAAACTGATAGAAATAATGGTTAACAAAATATCTTTAGACAATTACTCCAGCCTAGCTTTAGGAACAGGAAAATTCAGACACAACACCCTACTTTAGAGCTGAAAATTCATTAGTATAAATAAACGGGATGACATGTGAAAAAAAAAAAGCATTTTTTGAAGGTACTACCACCTACTGGTGATACAGTAGTACTGCACAGATGTAGCACAGACGAAGCCGAACCTTAAAGAACTGCAAATAACAGACCTAACATACTCGTCTTAGCAACACAGTAGTGATTCTAATTGAGACACCGAGTAAACTGCATATTATAAAGTCTATAGGAAAAACAGCATTTTAATAAAACTGCATATTTCTGTTGGTAATGAAATTTTCAGGATAAAATGAATTTTGCGAACATAAGCAAACATAGTGTACAACCTCTTAACCACAAACGAGGCCAGTTTGACAGATGCTTGCCAAATCTATGCTGAATAAGCCTCAGAAACGTAAAGGCTCCCAATGACTATTTTAGCCCATTACGCCTCAAAAGCTGACAAAACAACTAGTGATTAACATCTACAATAATTGTAAAGAGATCAAGGGGGACGCTCCACGGCGTAGTTGACGCTATGAAATACCATGCTTACTTTTGTGATACAGGAGAAAATCAAAGAGAACGTTTGCTCAGTTTGATCGTCTGTCCGGGCGTAAACTGACGAGCTCTGTCACTCCACACTCCCCTTCCTCGCCTGCCGGCTGCACCTTTCCGTGATTGTTTAGGGTGTGTGTGATTATTCTACGTCTCCCCACTCGACAGGAAGCTCCCAGAGGATAAGGGCTGGCTCTGCCCACACAGCGAGTGTCCTGGGCCCCGCACCCCGAGGGCGCCCGGCGCGCTCTGCGGGGTCCCGGGCGGAGATAACCGGTCGCGGGCCGCGCTCGGCGGAAGACGCGCGGAGGCCAAGGCCACGCCGCCCTTCCCGCGGCTCCCGCCCCAACCCCGAGACCTTCGACGGAGGGCGCTCGCCTTGGGCCACAGAGCGGCGGCTTCAGAGGCGAAAGCCACCCTGCGGCAGGAGGTCTTCGGTTTATTTTTCATTGGGGGGGGCAGCAGGCGAGAGGGAGGAAGGAAGAGACCGTCGACTGAACGGGCACCGGGGGCCAAGGCAGGAGAACCGGAACCGCGGGCAGCCCCTCCCCCTTCCGCCGCGCGCCCTCCGCGCCCCTCCCCCACCTTGGCCGCCCCGCGCGACCCCCACCAGGCGCGCAACCCGGCTTGGCGTCCCCGCCGGCGGCGCGCCCCCGCGCCCTCCCCTTGCCCGGGGACAGGGGAGCCCGTCCCACCCCCGCCCCCCCGCTTACCTGTGGCTGCCGCCTCGCCGCTGACCGGGGCGGGAACTTCCACTCCCCCCTCCCAGGTGGATCCGAATTCACTACCCACTTCCCCACCCCCTCACTTGGCGGGGACGTGCCTCTTTCTCGGGGGTCAGGCGGGGCGGGGAGAATCAGTGTCACGTAACAGCTAACTGTCCTACGCTACCGTTTCCTCGGCAGTCAGGGCCGCCACTGGCGGCATGATCTACACCAGGCCGGGGGCGGGGGAGGGAAGGGGGGCAAAACTGAGCAACTTAGCGTGGGGGGTGAGGTTAGGGCCGTCCCTCCTTGCGAGCCGCCGTCCTACGTCACCGCGTTGCGCACGTGACGCGCCGCCATCTTGTGCCGGGGCACTCCGGGGTGGCGAGTTAGTATCGCGGAGGTGTTATTCTGGCGAGAGCGGGGCGTAACAGTTACCTGCGGTTCCTTTTTACTTCAGGAGCTCTGTCCCCACTCCCACACGTGTTTTCGGAGGCCAGCACCTGCTCGGGGTGTCAGGAGACCGCTCGGTGTGGGGCAGTTTTCTTCGGTTGGGGCGTCGCGCTCAGCCCCTACTTGCTGTGGCCTAGAGGTGTAGTCCTCCCCGGCCTTGACCCACGCCTGACCTGCCCGCCTCTTGTAGACAGAGTGACTTGAAGCTTGAAGGCTTGTCCTCAGCTTTTCTTACCACCCAGACTAATGTTAATCCCGGAAATCTGCGTTAAGAGTTGTATCTTTCAACACACATGAAAGGATTAAAAAGCCACACCCACATGGTACTCGTAGGGTTAGTGTGTTAGTGGGACTTAAGTGTGTCACGCTGAAGCACAGATTTACCCCAGCTTTTAAACTAGAAAAAAGTTACGTACTATCGAGTGTCGTAAAATAAAATCACACCGTCATTTTAATACATTACAGAAACTTTAAAAAATATTATTTAATGTGTGTCTACCTTTATGGAGAAGGGATTATGCATTATTCTGAATTTTTTTTCTTTATTCATTTCCTTGCAAAATCTTTGATGGCTTTCTAGTGATAATAAACAACAAATGATAAACCTTTCAGTTTGCTCTTGATAGAAAGTTCCAGAATTTTTCTGAAATTTTACTAGTTTGAGATCTCCAAGTAAAACTGATTTAGTGGATAGAGCCGTTCCTGGTTTGACCTTTAGGGCCAGATAATGTGATTTAAAGCTCAAGAGTTACTCTGTGCCCGACTGTCCTAAGAACTCACTAATGTTTATCCGTTGTCGTTCATTGACTACCTATTAAAACCTACAATAGGCAACTGCCCTTACTTTACATTTTTGATTAGGCAAATCACCCAGCCTCTCTTAAGTGTCTCTTCTTATCAAAGTTGGGAAAAGTGTAATACTCATCCCATATCCCAACATTATTTAAAGAATCAAAATGTCATATATCACAGAAAAGCAAAGTGCCCTATAAAGGTAATGTGTGGAGAAGAGATTCTCAGACATCGGCCTTTCATGATTAACAAAGTCCAGCGACAGTCGTTCTAGAATCCAGAATATTAATGGCTGGGAGGCTGGTTCTAAGTTTATTGTTCTTTTCTTGTTCGGTTGTTTCTTCCTTAGAAGACAGAATGCTTAACAAATGTTGATCAGGACAAGAGGGATGGGGAGACTGAAAAACGTCATCAAAAGAAACTAAATTACCGAAACCTTCAAAGTGTGCATGGACTGCTCCTTCTTTAGTTCCTCTTCCACCCATAAAGTATCAAGTCTAAATCAAATATTATGCTGTGCAACACTGCCACTCACAAGTATTTCCACCGGCCTTGTTTCTCATAGAAGTGTCACAAGCTGTACCTACTACTCTTCTGCAACTTGAGGAATAACTGAAGATGAAGAAAAAAAAAAGTCTTGGTTATGATGCACATAGTTCTATCCAAATAGTAAGAGTTTTAAAAACCAGATGGACAGTTCTTTGACTTCAGAAGGGAGGAAGTAGTGTGAAACAAAGAAATTTAACTTTCAATTACCTTTCAAAGGTAACTTTTAAAATAAACTGGTCAAGCCAGTGGTGACACCTCATGGGCTCTCCTGGAGTACTGTTTTCTAGTTAGGAGAGAGGGACATTATAATGAAATGGGTTTAACAATACTACCTATCCCATGGAGTTTTGTAGACTGAATGAGTTTAACATCTGTAAAGTTAGAGCCAATGCCTGACACAGAGTAAGCACTAAATAAATGTTGGATATTAGTATGGAAGATACTGCAATATAACTGCTGGAAACTTAGCTAAAAACATGAGTTGGCTGCACACCCTGAGAAGCCTCATGGGTTAACAAAAGGACTGAGCTGGAGTGGAGGACTTGAGAGCTGTGAAACAGTATCTGGAACAGGGTAGCTCTCAAAAGGCAGAAATTATTTAAAGCTAGTAAATGTAGGCTTTGTGGTCTAAAAATAGGCTTAATTTTTTTGCTGTTGTTTTGTCCTTTTTCAATACTCAAGTCTAAGCTCGCAGGAAAACCTAACTAAGGGGACTTCCCTGGTGGCACAGTGGTTAAGAATCTGCCTGCCAATGCAGGGGACATGGGTTCAGTCCCTGGTCTGGGAAGTTCCCATGTGCCACGGAGCAACTAAGCCTGTGCGCCACAACTACTGAGCCTGTGCTCTACAGCCCGCGAGCCCCAGCTACTGAAGCCCGTACGCTCCAGGGCCTGCGTGCCACAACTACTGAAGCCCATGCCGCCTAGAGCCTATGCTCAGCAACAAGAGAAGCCACCGCAGTGAGAAGCCCGTGCACTGCAATGAAGAGTAGCCCCTGCTTACCACAACTAGAGAAAGCCCACGTGCAGCAACAAAGACCCAATGCAGCCAAAAATTAAAAAATAAATACAAAAATGAAAAAACCTAACTAAGGATAGGTCCTAAATGCCTGCAGGAATTGTATGAACTACAATCGTACTGTTTCAGCTAACACTCCTAAAACAGAGCTGTCCCAGATAACTTAGCTCTGAAACTTTGCTGCTTCATCTTAACTATGCTTGAATTGAACTCCTAGAGCTAGTCTGTGAGGCCCTTGGAGTAGTGGACAACTACAGGGCTGTCCATCTATCCCTCCTCCTTTTTATGGAAACTTCTCACAGTCATCCATATCTTACCAACAGTGGGCACCTGACCCAAGCTGGGCCATCAGAGTCTCCCCTACGGAAATTTGTCTTTGGACAAAAATTAGTCTTTCTCTAGTTAAATGATCCTAAAGCTTAGGAGCTTTGTAATGAGCCTCTTCCATCTGTGAATGATGCAGATGAGCTGAGAGCTACCCAGTGGCTTTGTAGGCCCCAGTTCTAGAACCTGCTGCCTGCCTCAGCCCTTAGGTTCCATGAGCCACCCTTTGTCATTCTAATGAATAGCACTTTTCTATTTAAACTGGCTTACTTTGATTGCTATTATTTCTAGAATCCTAACTAATACACCTGGATACAGAAGAAATTATTTCCATGTGACCTCTTCCCTTTCTGTGTACCTCGCCACTACCCCTTAAATCCAACCTATCATTATTTCTTGCATTGTGAATTGCAGTAGACTCCTAGCTGGTTCCACTAGAAAAATCCTGCAATGGACAAGTACTAGTTATTGTGCTAGTTGGAGTGTATGCAATCAAATTATTTACCTTCAAGATTATGATTACAGAGTTGTAGCAAGACAGCTTGGAAATGAAATTCAGCTTACTGGAGGAAACTTCTTTATGTTGGTCAGAGCAGCCTGCAAGTATCATGCCGCTTTGTAAGCCCCCAGGTAGTGATGCTGAGTGAGGCTCAGAGGGCAGGATGCTCAAATTCTTATCCAGAAAAGGTAAGTCTATTCACATGAGAACAAATCACTAGCCCTTCTAGGATGGAGGAAGCCTAGTGTTGTCAACTTACTATCAAGTGGCCAATTAGTCTCCTAAATAAATAGTGCCACCTTGGGAGCTCAGTGTTGGTCTCTGTCAATACTTACGTGAAGATTCAGAGACAGCAGTAGCTACGTCAGCCTTGGTAAGTGGGAGTCCGTGCCGTTGGGCCTCTGCATAGCCTCCATCTCTACCGCTGTACCTATTCCATTCATGTGCTTATTGTGCCAATACTGAGATGGCCAGTATGTGGCTGACATCAACCAGCCACGTCATTCTGTCTATTAGGATGTTCAGTGTCTCTTCCATGGTGAATTCTTTTTCATGGGCATTGATATATGAAGCAAAGATCTTCATCACCTGCCTTCCCTCCCCTATATCCATCCATATACCTCTACTCCAGACCTTGCTGCAGCCAATCTTCCAGTCTTTTTCCTTTTAAGACACTGACCAACTGGCCAGGCCATTTGCCACTGCCCATGAGTTCATATATATTCTCACTTTGAGCCACTTCTCCTTCCACACAAAATGGGTGATCACATTAATATTTGCCAATTGGGAAGATTTCCAGTGCAACTGCCTTTCAAAGTTACCCCTGAAAATGGTCAGAACCCACCTATAGCCAAACAGGCTTTTTACACCTGCTTCAGCTGGAGCCACCCCCATGCACCACTATGGCCATAGGTGTGAGCTGAGTGAAGAACACTTAGGTGCAACTGCAGTGGGTAACAGTGGGCTCTGGGTTGTCTCTGCACGCATATTGCTTGTGTCCTCCGATTCTGCTTAGGCTTGGTCCTAGGTGTAATGTTCCTGTCTTATGATGTCTTGGTGTTGGGCCCATCTGACTTTACGACTTGGTGCATTTGACAGAATCCAGTCAATGATGGCCAGTTCCAGATGCACAG